GCAGAACAACCACCTGCTTCCTACCATCTCACCTTCACCCACCCCCAGGTGCATTCCTGTGTGGATGAACGGACAGGGAAAAGGAGAAACCAACCCAAGGAAGTTCCTGTGCTGTTTCTCTGATAAGAAATCCAAGCTAAAACCTCACTGACCTTCAAAAATTCATGAAAGCTCATAAATCCTGTCTCACACACACCCCTTGGACATTTCCAAGCACACTCATCACCTCCAAGCCCAGATGAAGGTGTGATTAGAAGCAAAGGCTGAAAGGAGCCAAGCACCTCAGTCAGACACACTGATGAGGCATCAAAGAGAGGCTGTAACACAGAGGAGCCCCAGCCCTGCACACGGAGTGAGCCAAGCACAAGGAGTCATTCTAGGAACACCACAAACTCCTCAGCACAGGCACAAACTGGTTTGAGAGGAAGTGGGTTAAAAAAAGAAAGTCTGTCAGATCAGACACACTGCAAGGGTGGAACAAAGAGAATAGCTGAGCTGGTGACCTGCTTGCAGCAAGGCACAGCCAAGCAAGGTGCACAGGTGTGCAGGAGAACATTGCTATTCAGACAGAGCACCAAAAAAGCAATGATTTTTGGTGCTTTGCTCAGCAGTACTTCCCAGAGCACAGCAGGAAGGCAGAGTGATGGACAGGCTATTGCTCTACAGTCCCTGAGCAGTTTCCTCCTGCTGTGGTACAACTTGCTGAGTTCCTGCTCTTCCAAGAAGTAGGACACCAAAGTTTTACCTCTAGTTTTCCCTTTCTACCTTATCATCACCATCAAACCCCATAAACCACACTGAGCACACCCCTGACCCACATGACTCAGCTGCCAGACCAACTCTTCAGGCATTAAACTCTTACAAGAAGCTTTTGATCACCAATAAGGAAATTGCAAAGGGCAGATCTGAAAAATGAGGATTACAGGGCGAGTGGAAGCAATGGAAGAGAGTTGTACCTGGAATGCCTCTTCCTTCAAGAGCCCCTGGAAGCGTGGCTGCCTCCACAAAGCCAGGCTAGCTCTCCTGTAGTTCAGAGAGGGGCAGGGCAGGGCACACCAGGCCAGGGCATTTGTGGCCTCCTTGCTCAGGACCCCTCGAGCCTCCAGGCTCAGCCGTGGCACAATGTGCTGCAGCTGGAACAAAGCACAACCTCTGCTTGTGGCTGGCGCAGGCACAGCCCCAGAGCTGCGCTGCCTCGTGTGGAACTGCCACACAAGTGGTAAAATGGGTGGGTTCACAGATGTGTTTCTAAGTAGTTTTCCTGGTGTAAGTTGTATTTGCAGCAGGAAATTGGATTGAAACTGAACTTGCTCATGAGTAACAGCAAAACTTTGTTCCCTTTACCTTTTTCAGTAGGCCAGGAGGGACCAAGGCACAAAAATCCTCATGGGAACAGGGTGTGGAACTGCCACACAAGTGGTAAAATGGGTGGGTTCACAGATGTGTTTCTAAGTAGTTTTCCTGGTGTAAGTTGTATTTGCAGCAGGAAATTGGATTGAAACTGAACTTGCTCATGAGTAACAGCAAAACTTTGTTCCCTTTACCTTTTTCAGTAGGCCAGGAGGGACCAAGGCACAAAAATCCTCATGGGAACAGGATGAAAACTTGCACATCAGGTAAGTTGCTGCTGCAGTGCAAAATCTCAGAGAAAAAAAGGAAAGAACTCTGTTATCCATTGGTTTGATCACTTCCACATGCTCTGGAAATCTTCCACAGGAGCTTCCCCAGCATCCCAAAAACCCTCCAGCTGGGAGAGGGAGGAGGTGGTGGATGCATCAGCTCACCTCATGCAGAAGGCAAATGACTCTTCTGTCCTACACACCAGCAAGGAGGTCCAGAACTCCGAAATGGAAAGGGTTTTTCCAGGAACAGGCTGGAAAGTCCCAAAATTGGCCTCCACTTCAGGAATTAAAGCTCTGGATTCACTTAAGTGGATCACAAAAGCTGCTAGTCCTAAGATATGAGCATCAGTCAGGGAAGGACCCTGAAAGGCAAAAGAAACAATGAACCAAAGAGAGAACATTTGTTTGTACCTTTGTAATACCGTAACACTTGTATTTCTCATTTTAACGTTTATAACATTTTAACATTTTCTTTGCAACTTGAAGCAATTCCCTGTAAATTCAGCATTTGGGATGGTCAAGGCTTTTTAGCTTCTCTGACGTCCCTTCTAGTCTATCAGCCTGTGGGTTTCACCCTTGCAGCACCACCGGGGAGAGGAAACAACCCAAACAATTCCTTGGTGAGAATCCCCAGCACTGCTATAGCCCAGACTGGGACCCCATTTTAGAGGGGTGTACAGCTGAACTATTGGATGTGGAAGGTAAGGAATTGATGGACAGAGACTGTTTGCAAGGGCCTGGAGGGACAGGACACAGGTAATGGCTTCCCACTGACAGAGGGCAGGGATAGATGGGATATTGGGAAGGAATTCCTACTGGCACAGGTTACCCAGAGCAGCTGTGGCTGCTCCATCCCTGGGAGTGTTCCAGGCTAGGTTGGAATATAATCTTTAAGGTCCTTCCAACCCAAACCTTTCCACGATTCCATGAATTAAGCATTCTATTTCTCTTTTGTCTTCTTCCTCCATTTGCCTACTTTAGCTTCTGTTAAAATGTATCCAGAATGCATTGATCTTCCAAAGAAATATTTCTGCAGGAAAACATTCACCTCATATTCCTGGAGGCAATTCCATACTATTGGACAAATATGGGCTATTTTCTGGAAGCCTAGAGGCTCGTGAAGTCCCTACACAGTGCAGCCCAGACAGGCCCATGCCCCAGAGCTCAGGAAATGGAGTAGGATAACCTTTAGCACACTATAACCACAGGATTCCTGGTTGACAAACTGACCTGATGATAAATGAGCTGACAGAGCCTGCCCAGAAGTGCAGGTAGGAGATTCCTGTGCCCACACATCATCTTCACCAACAAAGAGAGGGATGGGCCCTGCCTGCGGAAGGGAAACCACAGACCCATTGTATTTATGCCCAAATGCAGGAAGAGATGATTAAAAACGTTTGAACACACTGAACCCGAGTCACAGCTGTGTGTCAACACAGGACAACCATCATTCCAGTTAGAGGCTCAAAGGAAGGGGCAGTTTTGGAGGGCCTGAGCAGAGAATCCCTACAGACATGACCAACTCCAGGGCCCTGCCTCAAATACTTGAGGATATCTCAAATACTTGTCATCTCCAAGGCCAAAGTGGCCTCTGAAATGACAACAAGGAGAGGAGGAGCTGCCTGGGGCACAGCCAAAGCACAACGTGAGCAGAAGCAAAGCAATAAATGGGATGAAAAAACAAAGCAAGGAGTTGGTATCACAAGGTGCTGCTGCAACCCACAGGGAGGTAAGCAGGGAGGGACTTTCCCACCCAGCTATCAGAAAAACCCATCCTGGGAGGAAATCAGGTGGGAGTTGGGTTTAGAGATGATTTCTGGGACTCTTGTTTATCCCGGAGACTTTTCAGCACAGGTTTTGAACACTGATTCATCTGCTGCAGGGCAAAGCAGTGTGAGGGAAGGCTGCACTGGCTGCCAGAGCACACTGCCCTCGGGAAAGCAGCTGGATCCCAGCCAGCTCCTCACTGCCTGCTTGTTCTCCAACAAAGTGATTTGCTACTGGAATGCTGATCATGATGTTTACAGACTGTTACATCAGGAAGGAGCAGACTATCAACAGTCCTTTCAGGGGCAGAGGAGTGCTGCCTCTCCCCCCTCATCCAGGCCAGATTCAAACTGAGTCCCTGCCAGGGTGAGGTAATTCCTGGACAAAAGGGATTTGCTTCACTGCCCTCCTCCAGCACTGAGCTGAGAACATCACCCTGAGCATGTAGTGTGTGTGGGGAGTGTTCAAACCTTGTCACAGAGCACACAGCACAGCCCAATGCCACTCTGCTGAAGGGATCAGTAACAACAGAGGAGAAACATGTTTTATTCACACAAGTACTTCAAAGTGCATTAGCTCTTGGAGTGCAGAAACTCAGAGGGAAGCAGCTTGCTGCTGCCAGCCTGGCACAGTGGGCATAAGCAGCCAAAGTCCTTCCTCATCCCTGGACAAGTATTGGAATTCTGGTGTATCAACCATTTTTGATTCCCCTACTCTTTGACTCACATCTTACCTGTCAGGAGGGTTGAAAGAGGAAGCAGCTATTAGGGTTTGGCAGAATGATGTCAGCAGCAGATCAACAACCTGAAATAAAAACCTTCAGGAATAAAAACCAGGAATAAACCTGGAATAAGACCCACACTGTTAATTCCTGCTTGTCAGACTGCAGATCTACACCTAGTTTTCTGCTCTGTATAAATTATGTTTCCTGACATTAAAACAAGGAGACGCATTGGTTAATGATATTCACTCCAAGTTGTACAGATCCACTGGCATTAACGGTGTAGAATTAAGCCATAATAGACCAGGAATGATCCCAGCACACTGCAAACCCCTAGACAAGCCTGTTGAGAAAGCCTAGTTCATCACAGGCTGCTCTTCTGGAACATATCTCCTGATCTCATCAGCCAACGACTTCCAGGAGGATAAAGCACATGAATAGCCTGTGATGGGCAAGGAGGCAGACAAAAGGAGTGCATTCTGTTCCTGCTCTCCCAGACAAAGCAGCCTCTCACACCTCTCTTCAGCTGCACTTTTCCCTCCCCACGGTTTGTCACCCCAAGCCAGATGGTACTCACGCGCTGCTGGCAGGATTCCAGCCTGGAGGCAGCAATGTCCACTTGGATTGGAGAATTGAAAGGAGAAGCTTCATTCTCCTCACTGCTGTCAGCCAGGACACTCCGGAGTCTGTCTGAAACCACAGCAACCTGTGCTGGCACATCTGAGGGGAGGGAACAGGAGAAGAGTGGGACCAGGACAGCAGCCATGAAGCATTTACAGCCACACACAGCAGCAAGAACAAGTGAAATGTATACTTTAATTGATCAGAGCCCAAAAGATGTTAGGAAAAGCTTTAACGAGCAAAAAGTGTGAGATGGGACACAGTGATCAGCATCTGCAGCATTATTTTCCCCCCAGTGCTATTCCCAACACCTCAGGAATAGTTTTTTACCCTGCAAGAGTTTTCTAAGAGAGCTCAGGTCACCAGGTGAGCCCCAGGAGTGAGTCTGCAGAGACTGATGTGGCACCAAGGGATCATCACAAAGATAAAGTTCCAAATCAAGCAGGGGGAATGCATCAGACATGCAAATGTACATATTCATAGCTGGAAGGATTATCAGCTTTGAAGATTACCAGCTCCAGGCCCCAGGGGCAGTACCTCCTGCTGGGGCTTTGGCCAGCATTAGCCACACTCCATTCAGGAGGTTTTGGGACTGTCAGTGAGGAGTAGTTGTGTCTCTCCCCCCTCATACCTTCCCACTGGGCCTGGTCCACAACCAGAGTCCTGAACCAAACCAGTTCAGCCTTCAGCTGCTCCACAGGCTCTTTGGAATGGTTTAGCTCTGCTCTGGAGTCATCTAGACAGGGAAGAGAGAAATGCATTCAGCAATCTCTGGGAGCATTTTCTGTAAAAGCAGAATTTACTTTACCTGAAGCTCTAACAAAACCCCAAACTGTCAATCTGCCACACACAGCTTTGTTTTTACACCCAGGATGTGCTAGTTAATTAATAATGGATGGGTTTGTGCCTAGTTGCAGAGAGGAGTTCAGTTTTTGAAGACAAGAGGCAAAGAAAGTTCTGTTTTCAGAGTTTCCTTCCTACTTCCCTTAACTCTGCCCCTCACAGAATCATTTGCTGTCCTCAAAACACTGGAATCAGTCTCAAACTGCAGGGACAGACATGACAGCAGGGATACATCCTCAGCTTCTCTTCAAGCCAACCCCATGCACAGCTCCAAATGTAACACGGCACTGGTTGTGTGTTTGAAAGAAGGGATAAAAGGAAACTCCTTTCACCACTAGAAAGATGCCACCAGCAGCGGCCACAGCCCCAAACCCACCCAGAGTTCCTCACTCAGGAACAGCTGCATGTCCAAGGGCAGAAGTGACTCACAAAGGAACAGGGACAGTAAATAACAAAGGTTGAAATAAATACTGGTTGTAACCTTGGAGTGACCTGCGTGTGCAAGAAGGAGCGCTGACAAACAGTGCTCAGTCCTGCCCTAAATCCTGCCCCTGGAACAGGGAGCAGGGGATGGGATCAGGGAGCAGGAAGCAGGGAGTAGGGGACGGAGATCAGGGAGTAATGGGATCAGAGCACCAGGGACAGGAGGGACACAGCTTGGGCTGTGCCAGCAGAGGTCAGTGGCCGCTCAGACAGCCCTGCAGCCCCGGCACTGCCTGCCGGGATCCTGCGGATCCCCATCCTGGTCCCTGGGATCCCATCCCGGTCCCTGCAGATCCCATGCCTGCGGTTGCCAGGCCAACCGCAGCCTGCGGCAGAGCCACGAGGCTGTGATGCCTCTCCAGCCAGAGCAGCTCCTCAACAAAGGCCCCCAGTAGGGAGTGGACACACATTTATCTCCCTAGTCAGTGTCTGAATCTGTAACTCATCCCCACCACGCTCTGGGAATGATCTCTTCTCACCAGCCTGATCGGTTCATGCTGGATAAACCCTTCTAAGGTGTGCTAGGAATACCCATTCACTGACAAAGACGGCACAGCTCATTCCACACCATTACACTGCCCCAGGGATGCTGCAGCGATGGGACCCAAGATCAGCAAGGTCCTCCCAGCCAACTTCCAAACCAGGAGCTGCAATCCCTCTCCCATCCCCTCCTGCTCCCCCAGATCTCCCTAGTCCTCTCCTAAAAGAGGATGCTCAGGCAGCACCAGTGCTCTGACACAAGGGATGAGCACAGCAGGTTCCCAGCTCAGGCTGCAGATGCTGATTCATGGAGAGGTCCTGGAGGTGGATTTCAGCCAGCTCAGGCTCAGGCTCAGGCAGCATCTGCAGCCTCAGCAGAGCACAGAAGAAGAAGAGGCTGCAAAACCCCCACCTAAGCAGGGCTGGCAAAGAAAGTCATTACAGGAGGAACTATTTAACAGCTCCATACACAAAGAACATACACTCACTTATGTATGGATTAAAGACATATTCAGCCACAAATCTTGGAAAATTTTCACTCCAGGAGGGCATCAATGGAAAAACTAACTTTTCAAACTGATCCATAATTAAATGTTATATGTTTTACCTTGTAACTTCTTCTCGCTCAGAGCCCTGCAGGCTTGCAGGTATGTGGAGTACAAGTTTGATGGTATTTTATCAGCTCTACAAGAATTAAAAAAAGACATTTATTATCCTGCACAAGCACAAGCTGCAGCTTTATTAAACACAAGCCCAAACAACAGCCCTGCAATGAAATGTGATTAGAGGACCTCTGAGGCATGAAGAGCATCTGAAGTATTTTGTAATCATCTGACACAAGGGGCCGAGATTCCTAGCCAAGGCTTTCACAGCAAGTATTTTACACAAACCCAATCCTAGATGTGCTATTAATTCTTGCTTTAATGCCTATTTCATACCTAGCAGGCGTCTAGGATCACACAGGAGTGAGAGCTGTGAGGTGCAGCATTCACACATGTAAAACACCAAGGTGCTGGTCCAAGGTGTGACATCTCCTTGCTGGGCAGATACTCATTGCTACAAACACATCCCACAAGGCTCCCTAGCACTCAACTCCTTCTCTTACAGCTTTCATTTCACCAAATGATCCAGGCTTAAATTCAGAGCCAGACTGGAAGGACAAGGAAGGACTAAGCACCTCATTTGCAGGCAGCATTGCAAACATTTTCCCTTCGTGATGGGTTCAAGAGGAACTGCTGGATGTGACATAAAGCTGTTCCTGCATTGCAGAAAAGCGCTTTTGCACATGCATGTAGGGCAAGCTCCAGTCCTGAGAGGGGCTGTGTCCTCCTGGGGCATCATGCTGGTGTCCTTCGAACACTAAACAACATTGAAGTCTCATTTCCCACTGGTTCCCATACCCTCTCCCCAAGAGCCCTTCACAAGGGGGACTCACATTCCTGGGGTAATTCCATATTCAGCAATATCCTCCAAAATCTGCATTTGAACACACCTGCTCTGGAGCCAGAGAGACTCCTAGATAATGATTTCATGTGCCCAGAGGGCTAATTACAGACCTGAATACCACAGAGCTAAGTTCTCCCACTCACAACCTGCAAGCCACAAAACCCTGGCAAGAGGTTTGTCGTAACCAAAGTGTCAAAGCTTCTTGATAATCTGATCTCAAATGTCCTGAAAGGGAAGCCCAACAGCGCAGAAACAACTGCTGGGAAGTCTCAATACCTCTTCAAATAGTCTATAAAGGCCATGTGTGTGTCTGGGGTCTTAGGGAGCTGCAAGAGAGAAAGAGGCAGGTTAGGGGCTAAATACCTGTGCACAAACACAGCTAAGGGGAGGAGCAAAACAAAACAAATACTGACCACACGTGGCCTGAGCAAAGCAGGAAGGAACCAGGAGGTGTAATAGGGTCTCCTGAAAATGCTGAGAGAATAAAAAGAGCAAAATATTACCAATGCCAAAGGTGCAGAGTGCCACGTCCACACCTCAGCCATTCACTTGGCTCCTGCACATATGAACCATTCATGGATAAGCACAGACCAACCAGATTCAGACTAGCCAAGGTATTGCTTCCTTTAATTTTGGTTTTCATTATCCACTTGTGGCCTTCTCCTGAGGGGTGCAAAGGCCTTTTCACTCTGCCCACAAACACCCTCTCTCTTAAGGTGACTCCTGAGGAAGTGGCAAGAGCTTCCCCAAACCTCCTTTGCTCACTTCCTCAACTGCTCGTTTCCTTGCTGTGATTTGAACTTGGCTTTTATTATGATTAGAACTAACCTCAAGAAGACTTGAGAAGCACACAGTACCTGGCTTCTATCACAGATGTTGGTATCTTCCGTGTGTTTTCAAATATCTGAAGGGCCTTTTCCACATCTCGGAGCGCCTGGCCCTGGGGCTGCCTCATGCAGGGAGAGAAAGGTGCTGTGAGAAATCAAGGGTGGTGATAAACTTCCCTTTTCTCGTCTCAGTTCGGTTTGTTCTGATCCCATTTCAGTTGCACCCATGGAATTAAGGCCTTGATCTCCCCTTCCAGCCCATGCTGCAGGCAGAGGGACTTGCTGCTGGGGTAGTCTCCTGTTCGAGCCATAAGACACCTCAAACCACAACAAGTTTCTCAACTGACAAACTGATCAGACTTGGAAAAATCAAATTAAGTCTTGGTTTACGACTGTCAGGTTATCAGAGGACTACATTTCTTGCCCTATCTTGAGCCTGTGTTTCATGTACTCAGCTGACTGTGTGAGTAAGGCCTCTTGGTCTGATCAAAATGCAGAAAGGAATAATAAAGCCAAATTCTTCCTTAAAAACTACTGTCATTACCCCAAAATTATCATGAAACAGTGTAGATTCCATCCCTAAATCTCCTGTAGATGTCCATACTCTGGTCCCACACCACACACATGATGTGCTCTACTAGAATCAAAATACCTATAAAATGTTACTCCAGTTTTCATAAATCTGGGAAGATCCTGATATTTATGGCCACTAACACCTTTGGCTTAAAGATCTGGGAGCATGCTCCAGCTTGGAATGGCAGGGAAGTCAGCAACCTAAGTACTTTTCCAAAGGTAAAAGGGACATGGCTGATGGAAAAACCAGGAGCCAGAGCAGCAGTACCTGCACAGCCTCATTAGTGGAAGACAGATCCTCATAGAGCCCCATGTCCTCTATGGCCACCTGTGTGGAGTCAGAGGAGCAGGGGGTCACACACAGCAAGGGTTGACACATCCAGAAGGAATTCTTCCCAAAAAGAGACCATTTTTCCTGACCTTGAGATCTGCCAGTCGGGTTTTGGCCAGAGTGATGTACTCCAGGAGCAGGGAGCGGTGCTTGGCTGGCACAAAGGGTGGGTACATGATATGGACCTGGAATGGGAAGTTCCCAACAGGAATTGCCACTTGGACAGGAAATCAGTGTAAAATTCTGATTAATGTTTCCAGTCATTGATATCCAATATTCCCCAAAGAGGACATTATTGCTTGGTTTAAGATAAGACATTTTCATGGACTCTGACAAACAATCACCACCAAAAATCACTGAAGTGCTTAAACTGAACACTCCTTGTCCTTCCTTATTTCAGAAAGAAAAGGGGTTGAATAATGTATCAGAGGTAATGCAATTTCTATAACAACATTCATAGTGAGCTGAATCTGCTCAAAGGCACCAGGAGGGTCACTTTGGGGCAGTTCTGTGGCTGCAAACCAGCAGTGTCAGCACCTCCTCACCTTCAGGTACTGAGCAGCCTCGAAGGGCACCAGCTCGGACAGGAACTCCAGGAGGAACACCAGAGCCTTCTTGTTGCTCCCCTGGTGGCCACCAGCATTCCCAAAGGAAGCCTGGAACAGGGGGAAATGGCAATACAGCCTTTCAGCATGGAGAGAATCCTCACCCCAGCACAGCCCTAACTCAGGGCACAAACCCCTGACATCCCATTGCTGTCAGGAGAACCTTCTTGGAGAAGTCTCCAGAGAAAGTTTATACAATCCCAGACTGGTTTGTATTGGAAGGACCTCAAAGATTATTTTGTTCCACCCCTGCCATGGGCAGGGACACCTGCCACTAGCCCAGGTTGCTCCAAGACCCATCCAACCTGCCCTAGAACACTCCCAGGGATGGGACAGCCACAGCTTCTCTGGGCAACCTGTGCCAATGCCTCAGCACCCTCACAGCCAGGAATTTCTTCCCAATATCCCACCTAAATCTCCACTTTTCCAGGGTGAAGCCATACCCTGTGTCCTGTCCCTCCATCCCTTGTCGCAAGTCCCTCTGCAGCTCTCTTGGAGCCCCTTGAGGCCCTAGAAGGTCTCTAAGGTCTCCCTGGAGCCTTCTCTGTTCCAGGCTGGACATCCCCATCTCTCCCCGCCTGTCCCAGAGCAGAGGTGTTTCAGTCCTTGGATCACAGGGACTTATAGAAGTTCCTATGGAAGTTTGCTGCCATGAGAACATTCAGAGTTAAACAAGGCAACACTGAGATGCACCAAAGGATTGAGATTCATGAGGGAACTAGGAATCTGCAGGTTTCCACACAGGTTTATCTTGGCTTTCTAAGGAAAATAACCAGTCTGAGGGTATAGAGAACACAACCAGTTTATCTTTTGATACCTCCTGAACATTCCATCAACCAAAGCTAAGCTTGGATTTGCAAACTCACACAAAGGAATTTCCAGGTTAAATTTACATGGAGATTTGCATCCCTAAAATACCTGTTTACAGTTAAACCCTAACAACCAATTATGTGTAGGGTCAAACACAGTAATCCCAGCTGCATGCAAACCTCCAGGAAATAGGAAAGCTTCCTCTGCAACAACCCACAGCTCAGGCAACAACAACAGTGCTGGCTATCAAGATACTGAACCCTATCCAAGAGGATGATTATAACAGGAATTACATGTCTGCATTCCTGACAAATAACTACAGCAGGCAAGGTGGACTTAGGAGATGAAAGAGGGAAGACGGGGGAAAGCCAAATAAATTTGTTCTTTGCAGACACAAAGGCAGTAATAAATATTCAATCATTCCTCATATCAGTATGATCCCTTCTTTCTCTTTCTCCTCCCTCTCTCTCTCATCCCTGGCTATTCTGTCTGGAATTAGGCTTGCTCCACGCAGCACAGCCTTATGCACAGGCTTCCTCACACAATGGAAGCAAAGCTCACCAGTTTGGCCTCGTTTAGCCTCACCTTAAACCACTCAGAGTAAGGCATGAAGACAGCAGGGCCCTCCAGGGCTGCCTGACGGGCGATCAGGAATGCAGTGATCAGGTTCTCCATGTCAAAATTCCCAAA